AAAAAAAAAAAAAATATTGAATCAAAGATAATCTAATAAATAGGACAAATGCATAAAAGAAAAACGTAATGTTCTTAGAACCGGGAAACAAATTAGATGGCAACTAAAAAAAAAAAAATAGGCAATTTCATTCCCGGGACGAAGGACAATATTATGTTGGCCTAAATGCACTTTGTTGGAAAGGCCGCTCTGTGCCACGGTTTTCCCCCGAGCAGTTCCTCCTGCTACAACCATCCTCCCACGGCGAATTTTGGAACACATTCAAGCTCATTAGCCTGGTATCGCTAATATGTCCCTATAAAGCTACCACATTCGCGTCGATTTCCCTCCTCCTTGATAGCTACGCGTAATGAGGATATCAAGTGGTAAAATATCAACAGCAATATATTCCAAGTACGCGGTAATATAACGCCTCTCGAAATCTGCGGCCAAGGTTAATTTCACCGCGTCGTTGCGATGAAAGGTAGTAAGATGTAAGTATGTTATTTTGCAAACATTATCTGGTTATTTTAAATCTAGCCTCAATATGATGCTTCAATATGATTATTTTCTCTGCTTCGAATCGCGTTCAGTTATAATTTGTATTATGTGTAGTATTCAAATTAGATACTTAGTTACAAATCAATTGTGCTGCAATTGCAAACCAAGGTCTCTGAAGTCTTGCCAAAATAACGAAAGTTACACGTTCAACCGTCATCGAAACGATAACGTCCGAATGATTTAATTAACTTTCAGTAAAGCGGAGTCGAAGCAGCTTGCCACGAGTCTCGATTCCACAATCCTTTAATCCATATTTAACTGAAATTGTTGCCATGCTAGAGCTTAGATCTGAGATTGATCATCAACGGTTTCCAAACCGTAGATCCTCGTTGATAACCAAACGCGCTAATTTTTTTTTTCTTTTTTCTTTTTAGCATGTCGTGGGATAAATTCTTGACAGAAATTGCGCGGTGCATTTTTAATTGCAGCCTGCGATTCATTTATCAACGTTACGGCGAGACGTGAGTTTATCCTTTGAATGGAAACGATGCTACCTTTCAATTAAAACTGACAGTTTTCCATCATTCAATGAAGATGTTATTACGCTGGAATCTCGAGTATCCCGCGAATATCAGGCATACTTCAAAACGTAGTTTCGCGACTGTGTTTAAACGAAGTATTTAATCAAAATTTTGCTTCCGCTAGTTGCTACAAGCAACAGATAAAAGACTTGCGTCGTGGACTCTAAGCTGCTTCTCTTTATTCACGTCGTTGTACAATCCTGAACTACTTAACACGCAAAAAACAATTTACTTTGGTATATTTTAATTTTCATTGATACGATCTGCACGTGATTGAACTATTCGCTCTTTCCTTTGCATGACCAATTGTAATAAATGAAATAATTAATATTAATGTTCCAATTAGGACATGAATTCCATGAAATCCTGGTAGATAAAAAAATAAATAAATAAATTGATCTATAAATTCTGTCATTAAAACAAAAAATATGAATTTTTATATTTTCAATTAGTTGAATTAGAGGAAAATATAATCCTATAATAATTGTAAATAATAACATTTTTATTCTTTTATAAAAATTATTATTAATGAAATGTAAATGTCTTAAAGTAATAAAAAAAAATCCTGAAGTAATTGAAGTAAAAGTATTTAATAATGGAATTTCAGTATAATTAAATACCTTAATTATTTTTGGCGGCCATGTTGTATTAATTTCAATTGCTGGAGAAATAGATCTATGAAAAAAAGTCCAAAAAAAAAAGAAATAAAAAATAAAATAATTCAGAAATAATAAATGTAATTATAATTATTCTAAACTTGGTCATAATTTTTAAAATAAATGTATGATTACCTAGAAATGTTCTTTCACGAATAATATCGACCCAATGAGGTCGGACGAATTACAGAAAAATAAATTCGAAAATATTCTTTCACGATCGAGAGCAAAGACGTTGACGTAACAAACAGTTGCTAATTGACTCACAGGCTACTCCTCCATCGACGTGACTCGCGTACCACGGATTATAATCGCGCTTCATGAGCAACGATGATTGCGCTGATCACGTTTGTGCATAGAACATTACGTCTTTAATCGACTGGCACCGGTCGGCTAATCAGATTAACGAATTGTCGGATTTGTACGGGAGCGAATGGTCCCTACGAATAACTCCATTCAATTAGCTTTTAATCTATCACTCGAGTTCTTCGAGTCGGACGTTTTCCTGTTCCCGTTTCCTTCGTTCCTCTTCTACTAAGGACAAATGAAGCTTCTCCCCGAACGAAAAGCTAATTGATCGAAGTCCCTTTATTTCGGTGACGTTCTCCATCCTCGATCAATGACGTTTCCTTTTTTTTTTTTTTTTTTTTTTTTTTTTTAATTCAGTTCAACTTACACAGGCTCTGTTGGGAGGACCTCGTCCCCTACGAAAGCGCGAAATTAACCAACGTTTCGTTGGAAATTGCAAAAATCGAACGATTCGTTCTTCCGGCGATCTGGACCCCGATCTTCTTCTTCTAATTTCGATTTCGCATATTTTTCTAGGTCATCGGATTTTAGGTCAACCGACGGAGTGGTTTATTCGATTTCTATGTTTTTCGGGATGTGCTTGTAGACCTCGAAAGCTGCGGTGAATTTGACTAATGGTACTTCGCTGTTTGAGACAGGTTTCAGTGTAGTGGACTTCGACGATCTTGACCAGAATATCTTTTCAAAGAAAATTAGAACGAAGTGAAACTTATTATTCACATTCAATTATGTACGCTATATAGGGAATATAACAATTACTTGGGGAATAAATATTTTTTATCAATGCTTCTTTGAATGCTCAGCGAATATTAATTTTCAAAAGGAAGAGAAAGTATTCTTACGGAAATTTTTCAATTTATAGAGATATATCTGTCTTGGCCGATGAACAAATTACAAGAAAAAGTTAAATAAAAACAGATGATTCGCCGCGACGAATGTTCGATGTTTTTGACTTTGTACCCGAACTTTAACTTTAAGGAGAGGTTTGTGTAATCATTTTTCTGCCAGCCGCTAAAATGCTCTATTCGCATGCAGTGTAATAACCAGAGCGCCATAAAATTCAGCCACGTCAAAGCATCAGTCCTTTCCTCTATATTATAATAAAAGCTCATGCCACCGGAAAGAAGCTGCGCTTCTTTTGGCATGGAAATTCGAAGTGCAACAGATTCTTGGAAAAGGATCCAACGTGAAAATGATACATTGGGAATTTGTAACAAGAAAACTATCTGTACGCGTTTAATATGAGACACCAAGCTCGAGTAACGACAGCGTTTGCCCATTGACGATGCAACGCACCTAACTTTTCCAATTTTACAACATCGTGCAACGAGAGAGCTATCCCATTTTCACGAACGAGTACGTGCTCCTATCTTCCGCCCTGTCAGTGTATTCCCAACGATTTTCAAAACTATCGACTGCACGTTCGACACACTGTTGGATTTTGTTTCTTTTTTGTAGCCGAATAAGCGACGGGGTTAGATCTCGCAGCGCACGACTCGAGGTAGAAAAAAATATATGTTACACCTAACTTTTGCACCAGCAAAGCGTTAAACAATGAAAAATTCTCGATTTTCGATGCTCAATCAGAGAAATACATATGTATGCCATGCAAGAAAACATAA